CAGATTGGGCTAACTCTGAAGAAGACAGACGCTCCTGTACCGGCTACACCTTCATCTTTCAGGGAGGATCTATATGCTGGAACTCGAGGCGTCAGCCTACCGTTGCGCTATCAACGACAGAGGCAGAGTACATGTCACTGTCGGCATGTACTCAAGAGGCTGTGTGGCTCCAACAGCTCCAACAAGAATTCTGGCCACACCTGGCGTGTCGCCCTATTGTCATTTATTGCGATAACCAAAGTTGTATTAAGCTTTCAGGTACCGTTAGTTACAATAGTCGGACGAAGCACATAGACGTCCGACACCATTTTGTCAGGGACAAAATCAATGAGAGGAAGATAGAGGTTCAGTATGTCAGTACCGAAGAGATGGCTGCCGACGTGCTGACCAAAGCGACTCCACAAGCCAAGCTGCGCTACCTCTCCCGCAAGATGGGCCTGTGTTCAAGGGAGGATGTTGCAATTGAACACAACACTAGTGAAGTCACCCTCCGGATGTGACCCCATCTCTAGCTCTCTCTCCGCCATACTTTTTCCTACTGCGAGCATACTCTTTTGTAAATCCATTGAGAACAATTATTATACATACTTATTTAAACTTTCAGTCTTTTAATTATTACTTCAATAACTCACGTTTATTGTGTAACTAAATAATGTTCATCTACAATAGGACATAAATCTGTGAAAATATGTATGAGACACTAACCTAGAGTTGCTTTCGGGAACCTTTAAACAAGGATCCACTCCACTTTGTAGTGTCCTTTATTATGGCAAAGCTTTGGTACCATCTGCATGGTTGGTATGCTGTAATGTTTCAATAAGGCTTGTTGTTGGTATAGATTTTTTAGGAACAAGCTGAAAATGATCCCAATTTCGTTTTTTAAAATACTTCTACCGCCATCTACCTTACTAACTCTACACTGAGAACCACGCAAGCTGTAAACAGTTTCAAACTCGATCCATGTTTACTAGCATGCTTTTGGCTGGCAGCCAGTATCCCGCGTCCACAACAGATGGCGTTAGTAATTCATGCGGAAGGTGTAGTATTTTGTTTATAAATGTCGTTAGTTTATTTTTAAATCGGAGCGTCTTACAAGTGTGCAAGGAAGATATGCCGCGCTGGCTGCAGCATTTCTATTACGTGCTTTTATCGGCCGTCCATCAGAGCTGGTTACGATTAAATCGGCATCGGTATTTACGATCTCGATTCGACACTCACTTGGCTTTTGAACTTATTATAGATTGTATTTCGGGAATACAACGAATGTGAAATATTTTTATGACAATCACTTAACAATATTCAAAAACATTCGAGTTTATGTAAATATGTAAAGAGAAAGGTTTTAGAGAGAACAAATAATTAATTTTGCAACGATTTTAGCACTGCAAAACCTATGAAAGAAAAAAATACAAGATTTTTTTTGTGTTTAATTCTCAACAATATCTGATACGACACGTTTCCTCATAAAAGAACACCGTTAATGACAGTTTGCCCATCTACATAGCGAACGACTACAGACCAGCGTAGACCCGCGCTACGACGACGCTACGTGTGGTCGCTACAATGCTACGTGTGGCCGCAGCTACGAGGCTACGAAAAAATTAGCTACGAAAATGGGCCTTTTCCCATAAGTAATCCATACTTAGTACTTGCTACTTAAATGTGAAACTGTGTATGCATGCCGATTTAGATAAAATTTAATAGGTATAGAGATAGTTTGAGTCTCGAGAGGACAGTTTTTTAATCATATAAATTCCCTTTTAAGGGCGTGACAAGGGTGGAAGGCGGTGGAAGTTTGTATGGGGAGTTAATTTCACTGAACCGATTCAAATGAGCTGTAGAGATAGTTTAAGACTCAGGGAAAAATATGTAGTTAATTTTTATCCGGGTTTTTTGATTTTCTGTAATAGATCGAAAATCACGTGTGCGAAACCACAGGCAAAAGCTAGTATCTGCAATATGCACAACATCTTTCGACCGCAGGCTGTGGGCTATTGACCCAGAAGAGCGGATGGTGTTATGACCGTACGCCAGTTGAGTAAAGTAACAGTAAAATATTTTCAATTTGTTTTTTCAGTCCGTGGGAAAGTTTTTTGTTAACGCGTTCGATGCTCGGGCATGAGCTGGCAGGTAGTGACGCGAATTGGTAGAATACATCGATATTAAATTTTAGATTTAGATTATACTAGCTTTCCCGCTTCTTCGGCTTCGCCCGCGTGGAATTTTGTCTGTCACAGAAAGACTTTATCGCGCGCGTCCCTGTTTAAAAAACCGGGATAAAAACTATCCTAGGTCCTTTCCCGGGACTCAAAATATCTCTATGTCAAATTTCATCAAAATCGGTTCAGTGGTTTCGGCGTGAAAGAGAGACAGACAGACAGACAGACAGTATAAATAGATGGTCTACCGATGATACCTAGTTAGTTTGGATTAATAAATAATTTTAGACCTTTAAAAAACTATCTAAAAACTGCTCGACATAGCATTTTTTTTTTACAAATTACTACTCTATCTTTTGAAGAAAATTATTTATTTATTTATAATTATTTATGTGAATTCAAAATGGAAAAGACCAATCTATTTAAATTGCCACTTAACTAAAAAGATGATAACTTAATTAATCTCATCTGCTGTAATGACACGACTAGGGTAGGCTTATTGCTTGAAGCCCAATTTCCGCTTTTAGGTTATTCATTACGGTCGTAACTTAGATTTACGAATACTTACATTACAAACAAAAGCTGTAAATCGTACTGGTCTTACTTCTCTACATGTCTAGGAAAAAATTAAGATGAGATGATAAGATAAGATAAGATAAGCATTTATTGTTAATTGTGTTGATACATTGATGTTCCACGTGTAAATACTTTCTATAATTTGATTGATTGATTGCAAGGTCATGTCGATAGTTTCCCAACAGCACTACGGCCGCTTGTTTTTATAACGCCAATGATAAATGTTTCGATATATTTTTAAACGTCTTTGTTTTAGATCTTTGTTACTACATCGGCTGCGCGGGCGCCGCGGAATGCGTAGTGAAATGAGCAGCATAAGAGCGAACGCTGATGGGTGCGCACTTTGTTGAATGCTTTTCTTTTTGCCCGACACTGAAGAAAGTAAAATATGTATTGATGACTATTCCTTTGCACTGACTGAAGTCACAGACGAATTTAAAATTTTAAAGGTGTAGTTTTTTAGGTAAAGATTAAGGTCGTATCTTTTCCTTACTAAAGGAGCGTTTGACCCTAGAACCCTTTGTAGAGTCAGACTTATTAAAACCGTTGTAATTCATCTTGTTATCAGCTGGAACTATACTACCTCACAATATAGGCTTGTATAGCCCGACCAGGAACATAACAACCCTCGCCATGTTGCGGAAAACTAATGGTACTAATTTCTTTTAATGGCAACAGTAACTGAAAACTTCATTGACATGTCACCTTGCATGTCAGTCTATTGCTGTCAAAGTGTAAACAAACTTTATTTTAAATGTGCGCAATTGATTTTGTTAATTATATTGCTAAAATCTTTTTATAGTCGTGAAAGAAAAGTGGTTCACTATGTGTTAAAGTATTTGTCGAAGAGAAATACTAAGGGTTCGGGCAATATTTTCACTGAATAATGTTTTCGACAAAGGTTGTCAAATTGACTGACATGTTTATCGTATAGTACATTCCACTATGAAAATTAGCTGTGGTTTGTTTCAACTACCTTTTTTAAAGTTTTTTGTCACTTTCTAAGTGTTGAATTTTATGGAATTGGGAAAGAAGTACCGAGTTTGAAGCGTTCATGAGCAGACATTGCAGTTGAATATTCAAGTTCTGGATTTAATTATTAATGAATAATAAAATAAATCCTACTAGCTCGACTGATGGTTTCATTTAATTTATTTAAACCAGGTTACCTATAATAATATTTTTTCGTTAATTTATGAAAATATCAAATTAGCCCGTAATCCTGAATCCTGATACATAAAGTTAGCCTATTAATTTAACACAGGTACGACTGTACTTAGTGTTGCACTATCAAATGCAATTGACGCGCCTCTCTACCAGGGTTTTTATGTTCCTGGTCAGGCTATAGTTTGTATTGTTTGTTAATACATCTTTATAGGATTATCGGAAATAAAACAACATTAAGTCATTTAGGAGATTTTTGTCTTTCATGATAAGAAAATAGGGTGAGTTACAATACGCACATTGACATATCAATGTTCTGTAATCTTCTCTCCTATTTTAATCAAGATATTAGATCCTTTTAGGCAGGTCTTTAATGTAATTTGACCTACGCAACAAATATGGTTGCCACGCCAAATGTTCGCGTTATGTAATTACTGGTTATTGTTTAATGAGAGCAGTTAATTTGTTGTCAGCTGCCGTAATNTCGCCATTAATAAAAGAAGAAGAAGAAGAAATTTAAAAATTTGTTTGATATTTTGAATGAAAATCTTAATATAAGTCGGTAAGTATTAGCACAGTTCCTTTTTTTATGTCTGAGGTATACTCTGTAAAAGTATGCATTCAAATTTCAATCTACTACTTTGAAAATAATGTGTGATGCTCCGCTGTAATAATTACAGAATAATGAGTGTCCAGCAACTAGACGCGTTAATCTCATATCTGGAAGAGCAGCCAGAGCTAGCCCTTGGGCGCTGCTCACGCTCGAAGGAGGGGCGCAGTCTGGCGAAAAGACTTTGGCAGGAGTGCGCCGATATCTTGAACAGCATATCGGCAGACTGCGTCCAAAAGACAGCTGAGCAATGGCGAATGGTGAGTAGCTACTTAAAACGATGTCATTAATTGTTTACATCAGTATTTTGCATCTTATTTTGGTCAATGTCTGTTGTATGCTAAATACTTTGATAAAATACACATTACATTTCCTTTTTTCTAGTTCTACAATGAATATAAACATCGGCTCTTAAAAAAAATTAAAAAGGAAAAAAACGAAAAAGCAGCCACAGGTAAATTAAGTACTAATATTAGGTTCTTATAATATTGTACAGATTGTACTTATTCTATACATATTTTTATGTTTTAAGGAGGAGGGCCACCAGTTATCAAAATTTAACCCCCCTCCAAGAGAGGCTTTATGCAATTTTGGGCCGGGATGTGGGTGAACAATTACCAGGGGTTCGTCATAACCCGTTAACTGTAAGTTTCCTTCCTTTTAAAAAGATTAAGAGCTGGATTCCATGTTCACGCGAAGTTGCACAATTTTTGACATGACCTTAAGGATTTTCTGCATGTGTGGATGTAACTCTAAACTAAATGCAAATTTTCCATTCATACACTAATTCAGTACTAGCACTTGCACTTATACACTTTTTTATTTAATTTTGTTTTGTTTACTGCACTGCTTTTTTCCATTAACAGCACATTGAAAATGGAGGTGGTAATGGCACTTCATATTATGATGTTGGCGTGAGTGTTGTGTGAGTTGCATGGCTTTCCTTTTCTTGTCTCTGTTTTTAACTAGGTGGTATAGTACTAAATGCATTTTTGTGTGTTTGTTTTATTACTATGTATTAATCATTCATCTATACTAATATTATTAATGCGAAAGTAACTGTCTCTCTGTCTTGATAAAGTTTTTCTGTGACAGAAAAAAATCCACGCGGGCGAAAGCTAGTTTATATATTTTTTTAAACTAAAGTGCCTATACCTGCCCCACTTCTTTATAATGCTAATTCAGGTGTTTATATTTCCAGTGTTGATGAAATGCCACAAGATGATCCTGGGTAAACTTCATTTTTTTTTCAATATTTTTAATAGGCATGCAAAAGTAATTACTGACTTTATAAACATTTTATCATTTTAGATCTCCTCAAATTGAGTTTATTGATTTTGAGCATTGCCCTGGGCCCTCAGGCTCTCAGCTTCGTGAGCCTTTGGTGCCAACAGACCAGTCTGACCATACAGCCTCTCAGGCTTTAAGAGAGTCTGTGGAGCATAGAGTCCAAAGCCAACATTATCAGTCTGCAAGCTCTCAGGCTAGACAGATCTCTGAGCAGTCTGTGGAGCGTAGAGTCCAAAGCCAACAATCTCAGCCTGCAAGCTCTCAGGCTAGACAGATCTCTGAGCAGTCTGTGGAGCGTAGAGTCCAAAGCCAACAATCTCAGCCTGCAAGCTCTCAGGCTAGACAGATCTCTGAGCAGTCTGTTCCGCGGCGACGTCGTCGTCGGCGTCAAGAAATTACTGGTAAGCTTTTACCACCGCATTTCTACTTCATTTGTATGTGTTGTCAGTAGGTCAATATAAAGATAATAACTTTTTTATAGAACCAGAAGATCCGTCTTTGCGAAGGGCAACGGAGAGATTGGAGGCCTTGGAGCATGCAAGTGCGCAAGCCACTCGAGAGCACGCACAAGCCACAAATAGGCTAGCCGCAGCGCTCGAGGCCTTAGGGGACAGGCTGAAAAATCCCTTTAAAATTATATTAGAGGATCAACCGCAAATGGTAAATCACATAATTATGTAACATAGCTTTCCGCCCGCGGCTTCGCCCGCGTGGAATTTTGTCTGTCACAGAAAAACTTTATCGCGCGCGTCCCTGTTTCAAAAACCGGGATAAAAACTATCCTATGTTCTTTCCCGGGACTCAAACTATCTCTATGCCAAATTTCATCAAAATCGGTTGCGAGGTTTAAGCGGGAAAGCGTAACAGACAGACAGACAGAGTTACTTTCGCATTTATAATATTAGTTGGGATTAGAATATGAATAATTATAAAAATATTATGTTTGCTGAGGCGTAGTGATACATTGACAAACTTAGTTTTTAATTTGTGCATCTTTTCTTAAACTATTTTCCTCTTTTTCAGGAACACCGTGTCAAAAGGAGAAGAATAATAATTGATTCTGATAGTGAATAATGTTTAGTTTTTAGGTATTTAACTATTAATTTTTATTTATAAATAAAAAATCAAAGTACCAAAATAGATGTTTAATTTTGTCTTTCTCTCCATAACCTCTCAATGAGGGCTCTTTGAATCATTCTTCCTCTATGGAGGTCAGGGTTGACGCGTCGGTTTGGTTCGTCTAGTCCCTGTGCTGACGCTGATGCTGCTATTTCACTTTCAATCTGAGAAAATATTTTTTAATTATTTATTGGATTCAAATGTCATCATAACTTACAATATACTGTAATCATATGGGAATAAAGCAATCTTGTGAAGACTTACTTGATGCTGTCGTACCCTCTCTACATGGGCTTCCTCCGGTGAAAGAGGTGTCACCGGCAATCGGCTTTGGTTTGCAATGTTATGCAGCACGCAGCAAGCATTGACTATTTTCCCAGCAGTCACTGGGTTATAGTGCAAGGCTCGTGCAACTAGCAGACATCTACAAAATAACGTTATATTGTATGACCTTGCATAATTGTTATTTAAGTTCATTTATATTAATATTATTTATTGAAATACAAAACCTGAAACGAGCTTTTAACACCCCAATGCAGCGCTCCACTGAATTGCGTGCAGTCACATGCAGCTGATAAAAGTGATGCTCCGGTGTCCCTTCCACGGTATTTAATATCGGGGTCATCATGAACATTCTTAGTGGATATCCGCTATCACCTTAAATATTTTAAAAATATCAATAATGTTTGCAAATTATTTCAAAATAAAGGTTTTTATTCTTCAATGTCAATATATTACCCAATAAAAACACATGCTCCCCAGCATCACACAACTCCTTCATGTGGTTATATATTGGATGGCTTTGCCACACACTTGAATCGTGGGCTGACCCAGGGCTGCTTGCATCCACACACATGATATTCAATTCAGAATCACATATCTATAAGTAATTGTTAAATTAGAATGTAGTTTTAAATTAAATTAAATGTTATTGGTATAGTAAGTAATATACTTACAATCATAACATTTAGGGAATGGTATCCCTTTCTGTTAAAGGAGAGGTCCTCTCCTCATGGACAACCGGGCTCAGGATGGCCACATGAGTGCCGTCAATACAGCCCAACACTCCGGGAATCCCAAATCTATGTATAAAACCTATAACATCAAGTATAAAGTAAATACCTATTTCAAACACCAATAAATAAATGTAAATCTTCATAGATGTCTACTTACTTTGCCTTGATTATGTTTTGTCTTGCCTTTCCATGGGCCAGACAACATATCTTTTGAAAATGTCAGGGTTGGAGTATAGGAAACGGGGCGCTATGGGGCACGAGACTTAGAAAAATTTTTATGAAAATTTTTTTTTTTTAATTTTTGGCTTTTTTTGCCGGGAATGTTTAGAATAGATAAAAATAAGACTAATCTTCAGATAACTTTTTTTTCTAGGACCAACCGTTAACTTTCTAGAGCCAATTAAAAGTGCGCTATCAACACTTAGAATAATTTCGACGAGTTTTTTTTTCTTCAATTATTCCTTGTTTTCTTACAGGAATCGCATAGAAGACGTAAAACAAAGCACAAAAGATTATAATGGTCTACCTCTCTAAAACAAACGCTTTCAGATTTAGAGCCAATTAAAGGTGGCTTCCGACACTTAGAATAATTTCGATCAAAAAATTTTTTCCCGAAAGTGGCGACTCTTTTGATGCCATCATGAAGAGGACCTCAAACCAAGAAAAAAAGGTCATGTACTTCATCCCCGTAGGACCAACCCCCGACCCTCTAGAAGCGATTCAAGTTTTACGGTTTTTCCAAAAAGTTCTAATTTCCGGATACCGGATATCCGGCCAGCTGCTAGGCCGGATAGCCGGATATCCGGCGGCCGGATAGTTGGCCCATTGTCTTGTTGCATGTCGTGACGAGTTTAGCGCCGCACAAGTGCTTCGAAGGCGATCAGTGGGTATTAGTAGACTAGACTAGTCACACTTTTCGAAAATCGAATCCGTCCGAATAGAATGTCAGATTTTGCCACTTGTCTAGGGGGCAGATCAACGGGCGATTTCGGTTGCTATCGTGCGTGATTGAATAGCGAACATTAAATTAGTTTACTTGTTGCGTAATCTGACTGAACTGCATGCATCATGTCATCAAACCATCAGTGAAAAAAAGATCGCCTTTTTTATTTGGCAATATTTCGACACTAACAGATATTTACTATTTATGTATTCGTCATTAGAGTGAATAGCCCAGAAAGAGCAATTAGTTTTTTGAAAGACCTTAATATGGCTTTTGTAACTTTTTGGACTTTAAACAAAAACCGTCATTATTATAAGCCATTTTATTGATATTTACCTCAAAGATTAATTTATTTCATTTTATTAATAGAAAATTGTCGTAGTATTTTAATATCCGGTATCCGGCCGGATAGTGAGTTACTATCCGGTATCCGGCCGGATAGTAAATTTAGGCCGGATATCCGGCCTACCGGATAGTTACCGGATATCCGTTTCATCTCTAATAAATAGCACAATGTAGTGAGTGCTTTAGGAAAAATAATATTTCACCCCAAAAAGAGAGGGCAGAATGGAATTACTCGGGGCTATAACACGAAATTTCATTTAGGTCTCGAGTCGTTAGGGATGAACCTTGATTCGGTAAAAAGAAACAGAATTGCTTTCTTGGAAGTGATAAACGAGACAAGCGATATAAAAACGGGCAAGCTCGAAGCGTGTCTACTCAACAATGGTTTCCTATTTATCACACGGGTTTAAGAAAAATAGTCCAGGAAACAAATAACGTAATAGCAGGACAAAGTGATGTTATTTTATATGGGAACTTTTTCAAGGTAGGTACTAGGGACTGATACAGATTTATAAGCTTTACTTATCACCACCATGAGTACAGAAATGAAACATTATCAAATACTTTTTTATGACATTCTCACATTTTTCCATCCATGCTTCTATGGTAGCTACCTAAAGATTTCTTTTAAGCTCTACCGTAAAGCATGTAGGATACATTTTTTGGTTTCCATTTTGTTACAGATATAAGCCGTTAATAGTCGCCAGACTTCAATAGTAAGGTTCTACTTGCGGTCAGTCTATCTACGGATAGGCACAGCTGTATTTAAGGGATACAGAGGTGGCACATCCCATTCATGTAAGTAACCTGTCTTACCCGTAAGGCCGGATAGCATTCATCGTACAACCCACAAATCACTCGTAAGCTCGAGCCTGTTAATAGATTGAAGCTATTTACGATTCCTCAGTACCCTGGGCATACCTACATCAAAGTGATTTTCTCACATAACAGCCACCCGAAGATAATCGTATTGCTCAGCAGATCAAAGGATGGGTCAATTCGCCTATTACTTACATCGCTTAAGTGGTACCTACGTAATACCTTAATATGAAGTGTCAATTAGCCCAGCAATGTAGTTAAAGTACAAAAGGAACCCCAAGCTCTAGCCCTTTTGAATGTCAACCCTCGTCTAATTTCAAGTTAGAATAAACATCTACATATCTGGCATGATGATACACTCGTATAATAAACTCACTTTGAGACTCTCGGTTTTGAAATCGGCATTTTAAGTGCTTTTTATGAAACCTAAATTTAGCCCGGCACTTTCATTTATGAAACTGCTGACACAAATGTAATTTCACTTTCTTTGAACAAAAATAGAAACGTAATTGAGCATAAAGGCGTCTCACTTTTTTTTTTCGTCTGGCAGCCCTGCCTGTCAGACGTACATAGATCAGCTGTTAGATTAATTTTAAGTTAATTACATAAATAGCCGTAATAATGTATCAAATTACACTTAATTAGTGATATAAATGTGTAAATATCGTGTACAAGTGTTTGCAAAACTGGACTTTGTGTAAACACATAGTTATAAGGAGATAAAATCGGCGACCAAATTGACAGCTACGACAACGTACAAAAGGACAATGTTCGTTCTCCATACATTGTTCGCCGTTAGATCAACAGTGCCGAAATAATACTTTCTAGGTTCTAAATGACACAAATCTTTATGTAAGAACAATTATTCCTGGCGGACCAATTCTATAAACTTATTGATAGCAATATTGTTATCATAACCTCTTACTTACTAGTATTGTATTATATTATTTTATGCACATCGATTTGGGAGATGTTCTGTATTGTAGTTGTCGCAGCCAAATTGTATTATAATATTGGACGGGTTTTGGAAATAGCTCGGCGTTCCACTTTTATGATTTACTTACTTACATTTTGCACGTAAATAAATAACATGAATCCTATGTTTACTTTCCACTCTTGACATTTAACACGTGACTTACCAAACTAACTATCTCCATGGTTACCGTCTTAGTCTATGCATGACTAGGGATTGAACAACTTTTAATTGAATATTATTAACAATTCATTGCTGTGAGCTTGACCACCACCCCGCGCCAGTCCAATGCTGTGAGCTTGACCGCCGTCCTGCGCCGGTCCAACACTGTGAGCTTGACCGCTGTCTCGCGCCGGTCCAACGCTGTGAACTTGACCGTCGCCCCGCGTCATCTATCCTGATTCTTCATTCTTCTGGCCAGTTATATTCCGGGCATACCCTCAGCTCGACTTTGACACCACTGTTCCGCCCTCAGCGCGGTACTAGCCCACCGGGTGAGACGACATTGGTCGAGGCCCAGTGAACGACCAGCGAGCGAGCGGTTCCTGGATGCCAAAGGAGCTTGCCGGTAGTAGGTATAGGTAGGTATGTTCATATTTTGTTGGTCCAAAATAGCACGTAAATGTTGGCCTCTTCATTAGCGTGTTGGTTCCAATATCATTGAAAGTGATCTCAATTGCACGATTCGATCCCAATTCTGATGTCGGTTCGTCAGGGATTTGAACCTCAGATATTGTGGGCGAAATAGGGTATCGTGCAATGAGAATGAGACTTGTGTTCGAACACTTTTAATAATCGTCAAACAGAGTTCAAAATCAGCACTTAGTTCTTAGTATTACAATCTAGACTTCGTCGAGCGATCAAATAGGCACTAGGTGAAACGTGGGACAGTTCCGTGA